GACACGAGAGCGGTTGCATAAGCCCGCTTTAATGCTTTTTTAAAAGCGGAAGGGCGGGCTAAAAATGGATAGGCAGAGGAGAAACGGCGGAAAGACACTTACGAAACAATTCCTGAGGCAACAACCACATCTGTAAAATTTATCGTCCATCAAAATAAATTCATGGACATAGATTTCAAGAACCACGTATGTAGGATTGAAAACAAGCCAAAGGGGATGGTCGCTGGTTGCTTGAATGCACTTTCCACAGATCTAAAAAGAACACAGAGCGTTAGCATTCTAAGACACCCTAACGGCCAAATCGAAATCTAAGCAAACAAGGGGATTTAAAGACTAATACTTTCTGAACCTCCTCATCAACCAAATTGTATCCAGTATAATGATTGTTAATTACGCGGTGCGCCATTTCGGAAATAAAGTCAAAGAAACTTCGCAGAATGAGAGGGCAACACAGCGGCTTAGTCCAGTACAACACCAAGATGGCGAATGACCGTTCGATGCCTCCTAACGACAAAGTTCGATGTATTGCGCTCCCGTTACACAAAGTTCGATCTGTTTCGCTCCCGTTACACAAAGTCTGATGTGTTGCGCTCCCGTTACACAAAGTTTGATCTGTTCCGCTCCTGTTACACAACGTTCGATCTGCTTTCCGTCGCGCTCTGCATCGCGGTAGAAAAAAAAGTAAAAGCTGCTGTCTGGTGCTAAAAGATTGAAAAACAACATACTCTAAAGAAAAAATTGAATGCCACAACAACAAATCTGCGGTAGCGCTCTAAACTTGGGTCTCCAGAGAGCGGACAAAAACAGATCGAACTTTGTGTAACGGGAGCGGAACAGATCGAACTTTGTGTAACGGGAGCGGAACAGATCGGACTTTGTGTAACGGGAGCGGAACAGATCGAACTTTGTGTAACGGGAGCGCAACACATCAGACTTTGTGTAACGGGAGCGAAACAGATCGAACTTTGTGTAACGGGAGCGCAACACATCAGACTTTGTCGTTAGAAGGCATCGCGTTGGAGGGAGTTGGCGCCAAAGCGCAGCGTCCTCACGGAAGGAGGGGAAAAAGGAGAAGTGGGGGTAACCCACTGCGCATGAGCGGCGCGCGCAGCCGAGTATGAGAATAAAAGAGGAACGCCGCCAGAAGTCTGAGCAGGCGGAGAGAGAGCACGGCTAGCAGAACAGCACTAGCCGAGAAATAAAGTTCTAAACCAAGGAATTGGATAAAGAACCAGAATAATTAAACACGTCAAGACTCAAGACAACGCTGGAATCAAAAGAAATCACCGATCAACGCAGGCAGAAGAAGATCAACGCTAGATTACATACGCGGAGAATTTCTATTTTAAAAGTTAAGTATTCTTAACCTTTTAAGAGGTTAGTAAGAGACGTGGAAGTTTTCAGAATTCAAAGGTGTCACAGGTCTAGTCAGTCGTGTAGGAGACACCTAGGGCCAATTAATTACAGCCCAAGGCAAAGGTTTAAGTGTTCGACAAATACTTTTCCAGGATTATTTTTATGTTTCAGGTTCACTGGTAAAACCTTTCCCCCACAGCAAGTTCACATCAAGATAAATTTGAATTTTAAAGGCATGGAAACTCCGTGGTTGATCTGAATGGATTTTTAAACTACTATTGATAGCAAGTTAATAGTGGTCCGGTAAGGAATCATACTAATGCATTGCTACATGCTAGGAGGGAAGTCAATTTCTTTTTGTTTGCACACCAAGCCAGACTAGTAGGTTTGAATAAGCCGTAGGTTTGGCAAAGTGGAAGTTCACAGGTTTAATTAAGTTGAAATTATTTAGAATTTGTTCATTTATTCATTAACAATGTTTTAAAAGTAGAGTCAGTTCAATCAATTTGTACGTTAACGTCCAAGTGTTTTGTATGAAGTTCAAGGCGAAGCTCTTGTGATTGTTAAAATCTTCTGAGCATTTTTAGGGAAGGGTTCTAAAAGAAGGGAGTAGTGTAGTATTATGGTAACATTAACCCAACCAGGTTACAGCAGAATACCCTCAGTCACGGCCACTAGTGATCACTATGGAGGCGACACCTAGGTTGTATCCAGTTACATGCATCCTACATCTTGCAACTATGTTGCCAAGTTGCCGTTGTCTTCCAAAATCAAAGTTTTAGGTTGGCCCGCTAGAAGGCAGTGTGTTTAGTGTTTCTGCTATAGAAGTTAAGTACATAAACGTAAACAAGACAACAAGTCCAATAGTATTTATTAAATTATTAAACAAAGAAATGGATGACGACGCTGAAGAACAGTTGCTAAATCTCTTGCTGATGGGTGCGGGTGCTCTATTGATGATGATGGATGATGAAGGTAAATAAATAAGTGAATGAGCCATACACAAATATGTCTCCTTAACCTAGATCTTTATTTAACACTTAAATATTATTTCTATCAGAAGCTGATGAGCAAGAACCTGTTGTGTGGGAGGGTGTACCTGTGGACATCAATCATTTTCTGCAAATGAGGAATGAAGCTTTCCGTTTGCATTTTAGAATGAACACAGAGACATTTGAAGATTTAGTGCACGTCATAGGTAATTACATAGGAGAGGAAGAAAATGTAAGGAGAAATGAGAATTTAGATTTGAGGCGACTCCTTTTACCAGTGTTGTGGATCCTGGCCACCCCGGATACGTTCAGGAGTGTGGCGATGCAGTTCGAGCTGACCCCTGCGCTACTTCACTTTCACTATGCAGTCATCATCTTTGTGCTCTCAGAATTATCCGAGAGATATGTCAGATGGCCTCTTCCTGGGGAGAGAAACGCCATCAGTGATGTGTGCGAGGCGCGTAGTGGATTCCCTGGAGTGGTTGGGGCAGTGGATGCTTCATACATACCACTGTGTACTGCTCCAGTTATTGAAGCCCAAAGATATGTGAATAGGCACCATGACTATGCCGTCTCTCTGCAGGGTGTTGTTGACCCTGCTCTAGTCTTCAGGGATATTTATGTAGGAGAGCCTGGAAGCCTGCATGACTCCAGGGTCTTCAGAAGGAGTCCCTTGAGTAGAAGACTCCTTGAAGATGACACTCTTCTGGATCAGGATCAGCACATACTTGGGGACTCAGCTTATATTCTTACGGACAAGGTTCTCACTCCATACCGAAACAATGGTAATCTCACAGTACGCCAAACAAATTATAATGCCATGCTGTCAAGCTCCAGAAGTATGGTGGAACGGGCGTTTGGTCTTCTGAAGATGAAATGGCGAAGGCTCTTTTTTCTTTCAGCCAGAAAGCCTGTACTTGTCGTTAGGACAATTGTTGCCTCCGTGGTACTTCACAACTTTTTGATTCTCCGAGGTGAAGCCCCAGATGTGGGAGAACCAGAAGAACCACATGGGAATGTGCCTATTGACCATCCCAATGTTCAGATTGAGCCTGATCATCCTTTACTAGCAGGTGCCACGGCTAGAGGGGTGGAAAAGCGTTACCACATCACAAATAATTTACCACTTTAAATTGTGGCTTGACGTATAATAAATAATCTTAATGTTATCATTCAAGTAAGACTTAAGATCCTAATATCACAAAAATAAATAAGCAAAAGACTTGGAGATCAAACAATTATAATTAAAACAACAAAAAATATATCATTAGTTTTTCAAAAACTTGTAAGCCAAACTCCAGCTAAGAAACAAACTGGAGACAAAACAAAAAGGTTTCCAAGATGTTAAATCTAAACAATAGACATCTTGTAGGAAAAAAAATCAAACTCAATAAAATTGATACAAATAACTAGAGAACCACAAATAAATGAAATATTGTAGTATTATGAGGTTTTACCCTACATAACCTAACCTGGTCACAGCAGACCACATCCTCACATAAACAAGTCACGGCCACTAGTGATCACTATGGAGCGACATCTACAGTTGAACACAGACCCTACCATTGTT